TCGAATTTCGACAGTGGCTGGCACTCTAGTATATTATATTTCTCTAATTTTAAGAACATTTTTCCCGCGCTTACAACTTATTACTGCAGAAAAGAAAGCTTTAACTCCACCTAAGAAACGAAAAGCTTTTCAACTCGTGGATAATACACCAAAACCGCAAAACAATGGTACAATTTTTATGATTGTATACATTTACTCACAGAAGTATTCGCTGTTATGTAAGTCAATGTTGCAATGTTTCTACGAAATTCGCAAACTTTAGCGAATCAAAAAAAAAAAAATAGCCGTTAGAATTTCAAACTTTTTAATCGGATTTTTAAATTTTGTTTTGAGTATGCAGTTTTGTAGCCCTTAAGAAAAGTTTCAAGTAGCTAAAAATTACCGTCGATTTTTTAGATTTCTTTGTCGAGGCTGTAGCGCATTTTCTTCCATGCAAAAATAGATATTGTTTGTGCGTTATTTTATTATAGGCTATAAAAGTGCATACTCAAAAAAGAGTCTAAAAAATCCGATTAAAAAGTTTGAAATTTTAATGGAAATTTTTTTAAATTCGCTGAAATTTGCGAATTTTGTAGAAACATTGCAACATTGATTTACATAATTTTTTGTTGATGAGCTATATTTTAAATAAAAATTAACGAAATACATTTATAATGGAGGCATTTTGAATATCGTGAAAGAAACTAAACAACGAATACTTCTAAGACTAAACAAAAAAATGGAAAATATGTAAATAATTTTAATTTTTTATTTATACTCGTATTTTATTAGTTATCTATGTTTTTTTCAGGCTGTTGATAAGAATGAACTTTTGGTCTCAAATAAGATGTTGAGAGAGGTGAAGGTTATAGTGACACAAATAAAAAGCTCTGTGTCGACTAATACAGGTGAAAATCCGGATGAGCTCATGACTGAAATCGCCAGTCTTCTCATATTTACCTCTTTGGCCAGCCTCTTTGATGTCGAGGCAAAGCTAAAGAACGATGAATACGAGCAAGCAATGGTAAGTGTCTTAGTTTCCATCAGTTCATTAGTATTTCAGACCTACATAGTATGTATCTACCAAACTTATTTTTTTCCTTCATACTGCTCTTTTGTATAAAATGAAGTGTATAAAATGAAGTGAAAAACGTGGACAAAGTCCTAAAAAAGCTTATGTCCGACGAACTTATACAAAAGTTCAACTGGAATGGCCGTTGCGAGAAGAAATAACTGGCGCAACTAGTCTTAATTGATAGAAATTTGTCAAGTACGTATACATTACATTTATATATATCGAGTTCCAAATACCTAATATTCCAAACTTTTTACTTATACTAGATGTTTTTAAAATGCACGATCGGACTGCATTTGAAAATACTGTAAATTAGGCGGTGGAGTTAAGCCACAATAGGATGAAGCAGAAGAAATATTACGAAAATAAGAAGAGAAATATTTAGAATATAAGATCTATATATTATTCTGAAACAAGGCGCTTATTCGCAGCGATCTACAAGTTGTACTGAGACAAGTTATACATCAAATTAAAGCGCTAGATCTGAAACTTTGCAGATTTAAGATTCGTTGAACCATTTTCGAAATATTTGCGGGACACGAGAGAATGAAAAATTGTTCCATTTCGTCGCTCCCAACGAAGAGTAGCACATCTCAAATTACCGTGGAAGACTAGCACATTTCACTATTAAGCCATGTATGCAGCTCTCAAGAAAACGGTCAAGAAAAAATTGCCATTATTTCGCGTGTGTGTCCAAGGAATTTTGACATTTTTGATTCTTCACAGCCTGTTGCCTCACTCTTTCCTCAAGAAATAATGAAACGGGCATATATTTCTGTTGTAAACCTTGGGTTGCCTTGTGCTCTTTTGTCACAAAAGACTTTAGAAAACCGTAGTAGAAAGCGTAGTAAATTTCTTAAGATCTGCGTATTGCCTTAAGGAAATTCGACCCAAGAAAATTTCTTAGCCATTTCTTATACGTCATTTTATATGGAATTTTTGCTTTTCTTGAGAGCCGCATACAGGCCTTTAGCGTGGAAGACTAGCACATTTCATTATTCGCGTCGAAAAGTAGCACATTTCAGATTTTTGTGTGGAAGACTAGCACATTTCACTATTCGCGTGGAAGACTAGAACATTTCAGATTTTTGCGTGGAAGAGTAGCACATTTCAGGTTTTTGCGTGGAAGACTAGCTCATTTCACTATTCACGTGGAAGACTAGCTCATTTCACTATTCACGTGGAAGACTAGCACATTTCAGATTTTTGCGTGGAAGACTAGCACATTTCAGATTTTTGCGTGGAAGAGTAGCACATTTCACTATTTGCGTGGAAGACTAGCACAATTCAGATTTTTGCGTGGAAGAGTAGCACATTTCAGATTCTCGCGTAGAATAGTAGCGAATTCATACAAAGTGGTACCAGCACCCGTACAAAAAGCAAACATACATGTATGTTATAATTATTTCTCCTCGACTAAGCTGAAAGTTTAATGTTGTGTATGGAGCTTTTCGATCTTTTATTACAAATAGAATAAACGTTTATTTTCCTCCTACTTGTTTTGGCACATATTAGCGTCTTCCTCAGGGAATCTATTTATAAATACGAGAAACATATATGTACATTAGGGTGGTCCAAAAATGCATGTGAAAAGCTAAAGACGGAATTTTTATGCTCTCACCACCTAGGATTGTTCTATACCGAAAAA